AGGAATGGCGTGAGAAGGCCAAGAAGGACCTGGAGGAGTGGAACCTGCGTCAGAATGAGCAGGTGGAGAAGAACCGGGCAAACAACAGGTATGTCAGGGTCAGCACAGCTGCAAGGGCTGCGACAGGAGCTGCTTGCAGCCAGATCTGCCTTGCTGGGATGTCTGGGGGCTTCTGTCCCCACAGTGGGGCCCAGCCCTGTGAGGATGGAGCTTTGCCAGGCAAGGGGAGAGGTCCCAGGGCTTCGAGGCTCCTGCCCTGGCTGGGACCACACTGGTATCACCCTGGGATCTCAGTGCCTCCTGCCCCAGTGTGGGCCTTGCATCGAGGCAGGTTTGGGGCACTATCTGTGCCCTGCCATCACCGGCTGCTTTTCCTGGTGCGATGTATGCTGTGATGAGTGGGTCACACTCTGTGGGAGGATGCTAACCCCCTCTCTGTTTCTCTCTTTCTAACCCTCTGCCTGCCTGTCTGCTCTGCGCTCTTTCTCTGTCTGTGCCTCGGGGGCTAGGATCGCTGACAAAGCCTTTTACCAGCAGCCGGACGCCGATGTCATTGGCTATGTGTACGTGCTTCTTGCAGACTGTATCCTGCCCCACAGGGTCTGGGGGTCCTGGCCCCAGCACTGGCTACCCACCCAAGGGAAGGGGGGATGCTGGGAGGTACTGGGCTCTGATGAGGTCCCGGAGTGAGGACGATGCAGCTGAGTGTCTCCAAATGTTAGAGTCATAGGAGGCAAGTGGAGCTCCTGGAAATTCCCCTGTGGTGGCTGGTTGAAGAGGCAAAGCCGTGGGGTCTTGTGCCTTTTGGGGGACTGCTCTAGGGGTGGAGAAGTCTTGGGAGCAGGCAGACACCCCAGTGCCAGATGAATGATGGATGAATGATGTCTTGGGTGAGTGCAGCCAACAGCAGCCTTGAGCATCATGTGTCTCTGGATCCTGGAGGATGCTGAGCTCATTGGCTGGAGCAAGGGGACAGGAAGCAGGGACATGAGGGGTTCCCAGACAGAGGGGAGGGTATCCTTGGAAAGGGTTCTGCCGGTGACAACCCTCAATGTCTCTGCAGGGCCTCAGAGGAAGCATTCCTGAAGGAGTCCAAGGAGGAAACTCCAGGCTCTGAGTGGGAGAAGGTGGCCCAGCTCTGTGATTTCAATCCCAAGAGCAGCAAGCAGAGCAAGGATGTCTCGCGGATGCGCTCGGTGCTCATCTCTCTCAAACAGACACCCCTGTCCCGCTAGCTGCTGCGTGGCACAGCCGGGAGCGCAGCAGGGCAAAGCCAAGCTTACCGAGCCAGGCGGCTTCATGGGGCCAGCCCAGGAGGGGCCTCACCCTGCCTGCCCCCTACTCCCTGGTGTGTGCCTCGGCTGCGCTCGAGTCACTGGTTGTAACTCTCCCCATGGTTTTCCTTTGCTTAAAAGGTGCATTGGTCTCTTTTTACACTTATTTATTACTGTGGCATTTCCCTGGGAAACAACACTGGGTGGCAGAGCTGAGTTAGTGGGAGAGCCCCTGGCCTGGGCTCTGCAGGAGGTTGTGCCCAGGGGTCCGGCTGAGTTGGGGGGGGAACACTCCAACTCGTGTTCCCCACCTCACCCCTATGCTGGTAATACACCTGCCTGCAGCTGTCCTGGTGCTGGGCAGCTGCAGGCATGGCAGCCCCATGTCTGGGCCTGTGTCCTAACCCCACGGCAGCGATCCTAGTGGCACCCCTGGCTCCCATCTTGCTTTTTTGGGGCAGTTTAGAGCAGAGCTGGCTGCAGGGCTGGGAGGGTGGAGGAATGGCCCTGACTCGGCTCCTCACTGCAAGGTCCTGAAGGGAGCACGGCCGCAGCGTGATGCTGCCAGGCTAGTGGGGACTCAGGAATGGGAGTGCAGGCACCCAGGCTGGGCCAGGACTGCCAGCAGTTGCCCCAAGCCCAGCAGACCTCTCCCCAGCCTGGCTGTGCACCCCAAAAAGCTGGCAGGGCTCTGAGCAGCAGTTGCAGTATCCATGTCCCATCTGCCCTGTGGGGCTGCTGGTGCCAGGCAGCATGGTTGTGCAGGGCTCTGGGAAGGGGCCACGGGTGACTGTGCAGGATGTTTTCTGTCCCTTCTCCAATGCCACCAGCAGTTGGGAATGTGGGGGCCAGGCTTCAGGCACCCTTGCTCTGCTCGTTCCCCTGAAACTAGGATGGGCTGTGTAGTTGCAGGGAAGCAGGCAGGAAGGTCTAGCTGCTGTGGGGCAGGTTGAGCCCCCAGCTCCCTAACCCAGGAGCCCAGAGCAGGACTGGGCAGAGTTCTGGTGCTGGGGCTTGTGCTGTCCCTGGAGAACAACCTGCACATCTAGTCTGCACCTGCTCTATGGCTTTTCCCTGGCCCCCACTGGATATGCATGCCTAGGGCAGCATGGCGAGATACTTTAGTCCTGCTCCCTGCCCCACAAGGCACATGCTTTCCAGCATGAACACCATCTTTCTCTCCTTTGCTTGATGAGTCCAGCACCAGCCCCTCCAGCTTGGTGACCCAGCCCAGGAAACCTGCAAAACCCCTCTGTAGCAGGAGACGGGCAGGCCTGTACGCACCCTACTGTGGCGCAGCCTTGAGCCTGTGCCCCAGGTCTGGCCTACTGGGGGCTTGGGAAGGGCTTGTACCAGTGGGCTGGGAGGACATGGAGCAGAGCTCACAAAATGTTTGAGCCTCGCTGCAAAGCCCTGCTCAGTGCAAAAGCAAGCATGCAGAGCTTTCCTGCCCTGTAGCTATGGCTCCACGAGTCAGGAAGGTGGTCTGCCCTGCTGCTGCAGGCCTCGTGGGGTGACTGGGCACCGCTGGCTCTGGGACACAGGCTCAGCAGCAGGGTGAATAGGGAAATGGGTGCATAGGGAGTCACTCGGTGGTGTGTGCTGAGATTGTGTCGCCTTTTCTGTAGGGCTGATCACTCCTACTCTGTCTCCCTGCACTCCAGCATGTATAGGCAGCTCTGCTGCGGTGTGGGATGGATGCCGATGCAGGATACCTCAGGACTCAGCTGCCTGTCTCTGCCTTTCACTGCAGAGCAGTGGGCAGCGCCTCTGGCTGCTTCCCACAGGCAGGGAGCCCTCTGCGCTGTAGCCCTCCAGCCCCCACAGGCAGCCAGACCCCTGGGTCCCCCAGCTGCTGTGTACCCCGTGTCAGACAAGGTCAGCCAGCTCCGGGGGAGCCGTGCCCACAGCTGTTCCACATCCCCTCAGCTTTGGTATCTGTGACTGTTCAAATTACCTATTACAATAAACCAACATCTCCACTTCTACGGGGCACTGTCATCTTTCTACTTCAGCAACACACACGTGTATTTGGGAGGATCCACAGTTACAGAGCCTTCTGTGGAAAGGATGGGGATGCAGGAGCCACATCCTACAGGAAAAAATAGGAACAAAGGCCAGAGGGTTTGCGCTTGGCTGGAGGAGGCAGCAGCAGCAGGACTAGGCGGGGCGTTGGTAGCTCTGCTTTGCCCCCAGGGAGTGGCAAGCTGCTGCTTGTCCAGACAGGCCGAGCTGCTCCCCAGCCTGCTGTGCCCATCTCCAGGCTGCCAGGGCTGCCACAGGATGGTGGCTCACAGATCTGGCCACTGGCTGCCTCTCACACCCCTGCTCCAAGCTGGCGGGGCTCGAAGTGCCAGCGAGGCAGCCAAAAGCGACTTCTGGCAAAGACATTCTATGCAGGCAGCAGCAGAGCCTCAGGCTCCCCAGTGCCGAGGCAGAGCTCACCCTGCTCAGTGCTGGCGATAATTTGTCCCCCACCCTTGCGTCTCAGAAGTCAGCTCTGGTGGGCAAGAGCCTTCCCTCTCTCCTTGCGGAGGCCCAACAGCACAATTCCCTGGATAGGACAAACTAAGCACTTCTTTGCGGGCAGAAGTAGGTTTACCCCTCACCTGTCCTCCAGAGAAGCTTGTAAGGGCAAAGCGGGATCAGCAGCTGCAAAGCCACTGCAGGCCAGGGAGGGCCAGGGCGCAAGCACCAACATGCAGACACCCAAAAGCAGCACCCCAGGCAGCTCAACGAGAGGAGGCCCTGCACCACAGTTAGCGGTGTCTATGCCCCTTTCCCCCGCAGATACGCTCTGCCTACAAGCAGGTATGAGCTGCTGCAGCCATGCAGGGAGCAGAGTCTATGGCTCCATGTCCTTCCAGCCCTGTGGCCCTGACACAGCAGAGCACAGCCTTGATGCTCACACCAAACCCCTGGTATGATCCAAATGATCCAACACCAACAGCAGGACTTGGAGCTGCCTGTGACAGTTTGTCACGACACAGGCAGTGCAGCTCCCTCTGGGAACAGGGCACTTGCTCAGCTGCCAGTTCCAGCTCACGTGAAGCAGTGGGCTGTGCAGGAACCGACTCCCCAGCAAAAGCAGCAGAAGCAGCAGCGCATCCCAGAGAATGCAGCCAGGCTCTGTTTTGGAAAGGCAAGTTCCCAAGTTGTTTTCACAGGAGTCACATCTCTTGTGTCCTGCTTGCATCACCACAGCTTTGAGGCAGCCGTGCCTACTCCCTTTCCTTCCTACACTGTTTACTCTTCTGGCTTCTCAGTGCTCTGCAATCCAGTATCAGTCAGAATTTCACTGCAATTCACTTTATTACTCACCAGTTGCAATGGAACAGATTACATATTCTCCCCAGACAACTCACCCGCTGCTTATGAACTGTCCTGCTAGGATCAAGCCATAAACAGAGCTGTTCCCTCCTACCCAGGCAGCTCATTTCTCAAATGCTAGTGCACTGCCTAACTAAAGCCACACCTTAGTGCAGACCATGACCCAAGGGACACAATTTTAATAAATTGTGACAGCACCAAGCAGGGACAAGATGTCTGACAGGGTGGAGAGCCCCAGTGAGGTGCAGTCTCCAGTGTTGCAGGAGGATAAGCTCTGAGGAAATAAAAAAGTGCCACAGCCCAAATTTCAGGTTAATCACAGAGGTGTATTAGACGCATTTCCAGCGCTCTGGAACAGAGAGCCTCTCTGACACTGGCTCCACCAAAACATCACAACTGTCTCTCAGAAAACTCCATCCACAGTCAGAATCTGACACCCCACTGACAGCTGGGGTGGTGGGTGCTTCCCTGCAGCTGCAGTTCTCTCCTGCCTGACTTCACTTTCTAGATTTCATGGCTGTGACCACCATGCCTCCCAGGAGGGCCACGAAGGTGAAGCCCTGGGCCAGGATACGTGCCCGCATCATCAGCTGAGACTGACGGATGTTGCCTCTTTTGAAGCTGATCAGTCCGTAGGTCAGGACGCCGACAGTGCAGAGGCAACCTACGGGAGGGACAGAGGGACGGTCAGCGGAGCAGGGCAGGGGCTGCGAAGATCCGCTCACGCCTCCTCGCCTCTCCCCACATCCCCCCGCGGTGAGCGTTGCTGCCTGGTTAGACGACACCCTCAAACAAAAATTGCCTCCCCGAGGGCAGCCCCTTGGGTTTCGGCTCAAGAGGGGCCGACCCACTGCTCACGGCTTCCCCCATCACCAGTC